GGAGGATTTTGAGCATAACCTTGCTAACGTGTGAAATGAGTGCAATTGTATGGTAGTTGGAGCATTCTTTGGCACTGCCCTTCTTTGGGATTGGGATGTAGAATGATCTTTTCCAATCCTCTGGCTACTGCTGAGTTTTCCAGACTTACTGGCATATTGATTTTAGAACCTTAACCACGTCATCTTTTAAGATTTTAAATAGTTCCACTGGAATGTCATTCCCTTCACTGGTCTTGTTGTTAGCCATGTGTTCTAGAGCCCAGGATGTCTGGCTCAAGGTCACCAACCACACTATCTGGATTGTCCGGGACATCCAGATCTTTCTGGTATAATTCATCAGTGTATTCTTGCCATCTCTTCTTGATGTATTCTGCTTCTGTGAGGTCCCTACCATTTTTGTCCTTTATCATTTCCATCTTTGCTCAAAATATTCCTTTAACATCTCCAATTTTCTTGAACAGATCTCTGGTTTTTCCCTTTCTATTATTTCCCTCTCTTTCTGCTGCCATATAAGATTTGTGACACTAAGAAAGAGCCTCTACTTCTGGACTAACATTAGAAACAGAAATTGAGTTTTACAAAGATAGATCCCTTTTTAGCTTCTACTGGATAATATACTTTCCTTGATCTGAGACTTGTTAAAATGTATGAAGGAGACATAAACAAGAGTTTCACCATGTCATAAGCAACATAGATCATTCCTTAATGCTGTTGTAATATCATACCTCATGACACGAGTCTTACATGGCAGCAGATATGACAAGTTTAAAATGGCATGTGCTGTGATAGCCTCTACTGTTAAGACCGTGTCTAGTCACAAAACGTTATCCTATATGGACATAATGAGTAGCTGCTTATTCAGCATCATAGGAATATTTATTTAACATGCCTTTTAACATTTAAAAGTTGGATTTCTCATGGTGAAAGGAGGGAGATTGTTCCTGTCAAATGCAAAACACTTTGCAGTATTTACAGTGGACCCTCGACTTACAGACTTTTCAAGTTACAGACTTCTCTGGCTGCAGCCAGAGAATCGACCTACAAACCAGAAAAAAAACCCAAATGGAACAAAAATGGAACAAAAATGGCCGGTTACGGGATTAATTGGTTTTCAATGCATTGTAGGTCAATGGAGACTCGACCTACAGACTCTTCGACCTGCAGCCACCATTCCAATATGGATTAATTCCGCAAGTAGAGGGTCCACTGTACTGAAGAGTCCACCACAAGTGAGATCACAAGGGCCTCCCCCTTGGTCACAGTTTTGGGGATTGAAACTTTAGGATGCTGCTGATCTGGTAACTCTAGTGGAATCGCATGGTAGAGGCAAAGATGGATGCCTACAAAAAGCCTCTTGGCTGAAGTAGATGTCTGCATAAAGGCTCTTGACCTAAGTAGGAAGAGAACTGGGAAGGGTTTATTTCCACTCATGGATACAGGAAGTTTAATATAGCCCTACTCTCAGAAATGAGTGGATTAACCCTTCTGAGAATGCTTTCCCACACCAAAGGGGAAAGAAAATGGTGTGTCAAGTATACTCCAATTCTGTTAACAAGAAACCTCAAATGACCAGATACTTGATCATTCTTATTAATCCAAAGTAACTCAAACAAGCAAGTAATCCATTCCATGGTCAAACAGCACTAAGCTGTTTGACCATGGAATTGAGATTCTTCTTAGTATTTAATCAAAATCTCCTTGCTCACCATTTAAATTCATTAGTTTGGATCCGACCCTTTGGGGTTGCAGAAAACAAGCTTTGCTCCATTTTATATGAGAAAGGCTCTTGAATAATGGAAGATGTCCATCTTAAAATTTGAAAGCCTGTCACACAGAGGAGGGGCAGGATCTGTCCTTGCTCATGCCAGAGTGCAGGGCACATAAGAATGGAATTCAAGGCCTAGGAGAAGTAGGGGACAATGAAGATCTAAGCTTAGGAGAGGTTTCATTCAGACAACAGATCAGGGCAGGAAAATGAAAGAAGATGACAGGCAGAGGTGAACCAGAATATAGGAATAGAAGCAGTTTAAATCTTCATTATATCAAAAATACTTCATCTCAGAATCTGATAACTGTATGTCCAGGTAGTGTAACTACTGTGAGAATACTGCCTGTAAGAGTATGTTAATACTGAAATCAGTGTTCATGGGTGAAAGGATAATTCTCTTTTCTTAGCAAAACCATGTAAGAGCTGTCAAGTGAGCCTGGTGATTGCAGTCGATTATATTACAGGCATACCTCGGTTTCTCAAGGCTTGTCTCCAAAGGATCTTTCCTATGATATCTGTCCATGCACACTTAATTTCTGTTGAATTGGCTTGAAGGATGTAAGTGTCCTGGGATTTTCTTCTCCTTCGAAACCAGATTTCAAAGCGAAGGCCACTATCTCCAACGTTCTCTGTCATTCCAATCTCAGCTGTCTACAAGCAAATATGAAAAAAAGAAACATGCAGAATGTCATTTAGCAGTTAATAAAATATTTTTGTTCTCCTACTTAAGAATTGTATAGGAATCACTTTATGATATCTCAGAAATTACCTCCACAGAAGAATAATTTTGAGAAGTATTAATTAAATCTGCAAGAACTCTTACTGAAACACCAGCTGCCTTTGTTCCATCCTTAATTTTCACCTATCTGGAAGCCATTTCATTTCCACCATGCTATCTGAACTGTTTCCATCTCAGCTGCTTCTTAAAAGAATAGTAACATTAAGTGCTTGAATCTGACTTTTTTCCTTTTCCACCTCCATGACTTCTTTCTCATGTGTGATGTCTTTTCAACTGTCCGACTAAAATAAATGTCTGTCTTACTACTGCTCTATTTATATTTATATTTATAATTTGCTTATAAGAGTTTTCCATATTTTCCCCTCAAAAAGCAGTTATTTTTAAATAACAAACACACACCAACAAATATTTTCAGGATACATTTTCTCCTATCTTATTTTTTCCATCCCCCCCCTAATTTCTCCTACTTTATCTTATTTTATTTTCACAACAACCCTGAAAAGAATGTTAGCCTGGGAGGTAGAGGCTGGTCCAGAATCACTGAGACTTAGGTTCTGTGGAAACTTGCCCTACTTTCACATCCAACACTTTAACCTTTCTCGTGTATCACAGTTAACAGTTATATTATCTTTTCAAGAAATAATATAACTGTGCAAGACTCCATTTTACAGCCCTAGCTTCACAGCTATAGTGAACCACATTTACATCTCAACTAGCCTCCGAATGATCCCATTTTATCTTCACAACATTCCTGTGAACTCCATAGCTGAGCGAGAACTTCTTTTCAAATCTTGCCAGTCCAAATTCTACGCAATAGGTCAAAGTGATTTTATTGCCAACATGCTTTTGAAATTAACAGTAATGGTAAGAATAGCTTTGAAAGATTCATCAAAGGATATGGTCTGCAATAGCAAATATAACAGGAGGAGGAGGAGGACAAACTTTGCGGGGTGATCCAGCAGACTATTAAATAATTCTCCCTAAACCCTAGGCTCCTAAAGACTTCCTCAGAGCAAAAGGGAGTCCTAGGGAGCCTTAGAACCTGAAAGGCAGGGATTGAAAATGTTCAGTTCATTTAAATATTTTAGGTGCCAGATCCAGTTTATTGCTGCATAACTTTACGCAAGAGGATTTTGCCCAATGATTTTGAGGGAGTCATGCAAGCCCAAGGATCTCTGTAATTGCAGGCAATCACTACTGCTTTGCTGCAATTTATACAGAAAACTTTTACCACAAGCTCAAACTGGTATACCTCTATCTTCAGCCTTCACACTAGGTAGGCCTAGATTTGCTTAGCTTCAATTGCATAATTTGCTTTCAGAGAAACTTCTGAAACTACATGATCATAGCCTGTCAGACAAGAAGCATGAGTTTACCTTAAATGATTGTTTGTACATGTAGATGTCATATCCCCCATCAATCTTTTTTGTTTTACTGAACAAGATGAGGTCTTCAAACAGAAAAACATGTCTCAAATACTTCTTTCTGCCACAACACACAAGAAACTCATCTTGACACCTCAGTGGCCCTTGTTCTTTCAGATTGACCTGATTACAAAAAGAAAGCCCCCCCCCCCAAATAGAAGGTTGAGTTAATTTTATCAAGTGTGAGGCTGAAGGAGATTACAATATGTAGAATGTTTTATTTTTATGTATTGAATTTATCAGTGATAATATGCTGGCCAGAATAGTTCTTGTAACCTGTTTCTGTAAGGAAAACTACATGAGTTGTAGTGGCAACTCTTATTTTCACCAATTTTTTTCTCATAGAAATAGTTTCTTACTACATAAAAGTTGATTATAATGGAGATGTCCAAAAGGTGGAAGGCTCTGTCAGTGAATGCCTGGATGAACAGAGTCCGGACAATTGCACCCAGTGAATATTTGACATATAAAAGGAGAATGATAGAAAGAAGAGAAAAGCAAGACAGTTTTATGGAAACTTGGGTCTATTTTCCTTACATATATTAACAATATTTCTGTTTCCACTGGTACACTCCATGGTCAGTTTGGGTTCAGGAAGGATATTCTGTGACTCCGTATGAGAATGAGTTTTTATTCATCTAATGATAGGTTATTTTATATTGAGTAATACATTTTGGATTAATAACACTCTGTTTACCTTATCTCCACTTAGTTTCATGGGGAATCAGCAAAGGTTAATATTTATTCATGTTTCTATTACCATTTTTGTTTACAATCTAAAAAGCATCACTTTCAAAAAACCCACAACCATTTCTTCAAGACATTCAGCTGAAGGCCTCAGATAGGTACCAGGAAAATGTGGGCAGGGCATTCTGGAATTCTGCAGGCTGCAGGACTGCCAAAACCTGCATGCAGGCAAAGGGTCAACAACATGTTCTCTAAAGCAATCTGTTACTTGGTGCTGTGGCTATCAATAGATAGGCCAGGCAACACCTCCTAAGGGCCTCTACTTGACCAAAGGGCTTTCAGATATTGATTCCCACTTTCTATCAGTCTTGCAAAGTATGCACCCATTATGAACATGCTGCAGATGTGGGACTGAAAGAGTAGCTGAAGTAAAACCATTTAAGTGGCAGAAGCAAGAATGAATCTGGTCATCCTTAGTTGTCTGTATGCTACCTCCAACAAGTAAAGCTGAAACACAAATGCCTGAAAGGCACAATAGGGGCCATCTATGCTTACATCACAGCCTCTGATGGCATCCATTGCGAGCAAATCGTTCCCATGGCGAAGCTGAAACTTGACCATCTCTTCAGCTGCACAGAGGGCACTGAGCTCTTGCTCTTCTCCTGCTGAGCACTCCTTAATCAAATCTTTCAAGAGGAGGGCATATTTGCTCATTCTTTGGATGGGCTTCAACAGGTAAGAAGCCAAATTCATCTTATCACCCAATTCCTGTTGTTTATTCTGTAAGAATATTAGAGGCACAACAAGAATATTAGAGGCACAACAAAATGTCAGTTAAACTGCAAATAAAACTAAAGATACTTAAAAATTTATGAAAGATAGAATTCCAGTTACTTTAAAGAAGGTGTTTCCATGGCTTATAAGCAAAGTGTCTGACTGTGGCTTGTTCTTGCTGTATAATGCATACATCCCAAACTGTTCTTCCTGAAATAATGAAAAATAAACTCTTGGCACTTAATTTATTAATGGATGACAATATAAACAAAGGTATTTCTTCACTTTGATAACATTATATATAAATGAGTTTTCTTAACGAGCTTTCAGTTAAAACCAGCAATATAAATTGAATATTCTTTAATTAATGCCATATAACTACATTATTAAACTACCCAATGACAGTGAAATGAAAGAATGCAAAAGCAGATAATGGGTATCTCTCAAGAAATATGGCACTCAACATTGTAGAAATCAAAATGTGGATAATAAAGTGTAACAAACTATATATATTTTTTACAATTGTACGGCTTATATTAGTTTGCCTAAATAATTCAATGGAGAAGTTAGATTTTAAGTTGCAGAACATACTACTTTTTTAAAAAAGAAATAATATATTTGGAAAAAATGTATATAACATTAATCAACAACCCTTGGAACTATGATGATAAGTAACAACTTTAACAAAGTTTATTTTCCAAGCTCTGTGCTGAGTTACAAAATCTTACTGCTGAGCTACTTTTCAGAAAACTTCAAGAAAAGTGATGTTCACTACTTCTTTCCTTCTAAAACACTTTTAATTGTGAGCAATAGGAGGGAAACATTTAGAACAGCCTCAAAACTAACTTGAATACTTCTCCATGTAGGGCATGCAGTAAAAAGTTAAGAGGAGCTTTGATACTGCATACCAAGAACCACCCCCAGTCTGCCAATCTCATGTCTCCAATGTGACTGTTTTAACCTCTCCCAGTGCTGGTGTTCTGGAGCTAGAGAAATACAGTGGGGTCTTGACTTGAGAACTTAATCCGTATTGGAAGGCGGTTCTCAAGTCAAAAAGTCTGTAAGTCAAGTCTCCATTGACCTACAGTGCACTGAAAACCGATTAATCCCGTAACAGGCCGTTTTTGTTCCATTTTGGGTTTTTTCTGGTCTGTAAGTCAAATCTCAGTCTGCAAGTCAAACCTAAGTTTTGCAGCCAGAGAAGTCTGTAACTCAAAAACTCTGTAAGTCAAGCCATCTGTAAGTCAAGGGTCCACTGTAAGAGTTATGGCTCTTTCCAAGGACAAGGTGGGGGTCAGAGACTGGAAATTCTCTTTCAAGATTAGAGTTCAAGAAGAGAACCTATCTATTGCCTTCAGGACACTGTCCCTGGCCCCAAATGACTCTAACTGTTCTTAATCTTCAACAAAGACAAGCAAAAGAGATAGGTTGTGACATTTCCCAATCATACAGTTTTCTGGCAAGCACAAGATACCTGACAGCAACCACACACTCCCCTTGGAAAATGAGACTTACATGTCTGAGAAAGCAATGGCTAACCCGCAGTGGGAAATCTGTGCAGCGTTCCAGTTCTTTCAGGAAGTAGTGACAATGGAAATCATAGAGTTTTTCCAAATTTCCAAAAATGATGTTGCGCTTCCCTCGCAAATCCTGAGGCAAGTTGTCCCTTTCCATTTCTGGGAAATAGCTGTCGATTATATAGCCTAAGGATCTGACGTATTCCCTTTCTGTTGTGATCATCTCATCCATTATGTGGTTCACTTTACTAGTGAAAGAGACAGAAAGAATAAATATCAGTTTTGACTCCCAACTAGCAATCACTTGGTAACTGAGGGGCTGTTATGGCAAGTCAGAAATATGAATATAAAGAAACATTTTAATGACAGAGAGAAGGAAAGGCAAGCTGGTGCCTTTCAAAAGTTTCAGATAACAACTTCTATAGTGCCTGAACTCTTATACATCCTGGATGATGAGTTACATCCTGGGAGTTGCAGTTTGTTTGTTAATGACAGAGCATACGTAAGTAAGAAAATGTTCACATTGGGACGTGGAAATGGACAAAACTTCCAGGAGTGAGCACATAATTCACAAATAACTTGAGATGCCATCTATAGATTAACTTGGAGAAATAGGGGAGGAGGGTTAACTTTGTTATCTGCTGAACAGTCACTGCAGTATTTTAACTTTGATAAATAATGAAGCAAAAAGAAGGTATGCCTGAGCATCACAGCCACCATTTGTAGTTCCAGCAGCCAATCCCACCTGCATCACTTGCAGGTTTCAGGTTTTCCTGGAATGGTTTCTTACCTCAGGTATCCTACTTGATAAAAGAAGTTAGAAATTGAGCAAAGAGGTTTAACTCAAAATGGTCAACAGAAATAATAACTAAGCAGGAAGACAGAGTAATTTTGCTATATGAAACAGCATCCCCTATAGAACAGAGAGGTTTCCTGTTACCTCTGGATTATACAACTTTTCAAAGTTCACACTACATGCTGAAAAAACAGAATAATTCTGAGATGAGGTACAGCTGCTTTTCCACGAACTTCCCTAAAGAATATACACAGCCTCTCCAGCACAGAGAGAGTTCCTTCTGGAAAAGCAACCCAGGGAAATGAAAGATTAAAAGGCCCATTGCAAGCAGCCTTTGAAACTCCCCTTTTGCTATGTGGCATATGTGATCTGTGTCCATTTTATGTGTTTGCGTCTGTGACCATCAGAGGGAGGAACTGCATTTCAGGAGAGTCCTCAAAACTTCCTTATTAGGGAGGCCCATTGCCACATCAACTGTATGGTTAAAAAAAAATCAAATCTGCATATGAGAGGGGGGAAAGAGTTAAGCAAAAACACACATAAACCCTTAGCTTTATTTTCTACACGATACAAATGTGTCAGCACAGACATCATCCTGTGCAAGAAAAAAAAGAGAGAATATGACTTTTCACATGGTACTTGCCATCTTTTGTTTACATACACACATGTATTAAACATATATATTTTTTAAAAAAACTTGCGTCCTCATTAATTGGGTTTTTTAAAAATTCTACAAAATTTATTTTAGATAGTGTGGTGTAGTGGACAGAGTGATGTCCTAGGACTGAGGAAGCTTGGTTCAAATCTCCACTCAGTCAAGGAAACTCATTGGGGTGTGGAACTGAAGGTCACTACAAACCAGTTCTGACTTGAAAGCACATAAAAACAACAAAGCATATTATTGGGTAAAATCCTGTTGTGTAGCTTTGCTCTGTCATAATATCCAAAATAATTAGCCTGAAAAATGATGTAAGGATTTAAGCATATTTTCTGTTGGGTCATTAGCTGATTCAGTCAACTAACTGCTTTGTTTTAATAACTCAAACTGCGTAAAATTAAACATTATAGCATTTCAATATAGATCATGTTGCAAGGAGATTCTCTAAATGTCACGGGCTTACATACTCTATTTAAGGACACAATATCCCTTTCACTGAAGTGAATGGAATGACTACATGTAGAAAAAGGATTGTATCGTTATCGTTTCTCACCTTCCTTGTCTTTTCTTCTCTTCCTGTTCATCTGTTTGATAGATTACTGATGGAGATACTAAACTGTGATTTCTACTAGTCAAAGGACTTTTAATGTTTGAACGCTGGGTGTTTCTCTTTTCTGCCGCTGTACTACTAGCTACTTCCAGTCCTCTAATATAAACTCCAGTATATCTGTGGTGATGCAGTTCACTGTGGTTGCTCTCATGTTGGGTCAACTCAAAGCTCTGTGTTTTCTTTATGATTTTCTTCAGTGGATGTCGCCGGTGGCGGGTGACAGATGTCTGGATTGGTTCTGAATAGCAGGTGGAAATGTTGTCCAAATCCTCTGAAACACGTGTGGTCCTCTGAAACCTGCCCAAACGTGGAGTGAGTGGTTGTGATGCAGAAGGTGTAATTGTAGAACATGGAAGTATGTTTTGAGTGGTATCTTCCTGGCTTAAAAAAGTATCATCATCCACTGGAAGGCTGTGATGCTGAAACTGATGGAGTGTCATACTATTCCAGATGTTATCCTCCATGCTAGAACAAAGGCTAGAAGGATGGCTATGCTGTGTTCCAGACACATGACCCAGCTCATGGTCACGTTTTGGGCCAGACTCCTTGGGTATAAGATTGGTTCCTCCTTTGCTGAAACTTTTAATTGCTTTTGAAAGCTCCTCTTCTAAGTGGTGTCTAGTCTGCTGACACTTCAGCCATAAAATATTCCACTGCTTTAATTCAAACTCTTTATTACCCAGAGCAGTTATAGCTTCATTGACTTTCTGGAAGTTTTCTGCAGAAATCTTTGCAGCTTCTTGGTGGTAGCTTTGCAAAGACTGAATTACTGATTGAGAATATTTAGCTTCTAGTGAAAGTTGCTTAAGATATTCGTTGCAATGAACCATCCATTTGTGAGCCTGGGTGTTAAGTAAAAACAAACATGAAGGGTGACAATTTTAAAAGTTTTTTTAAGACTACCATAATCACTACCCATTTACAGAATTAGAATTAGAATTCTTTGCATCTCATCTCAAAATGGTCTTGGGCCACTTGTGTTATTAAGGGCCAAGAGACAATTAGGAAACACTATTACTTCTATGTAGACACAGAAGAAAGAGAGGCAATTATGACACACTACATTATTTTAATTTGTGTGTTTGTTACACAGCCAGATATGGACAACTCTTGGTATTGTTATTTCTAGCAAAGTCCTTTTCAGACATTCAGAGACAGAATGTTGGAGGAGACATAGGGTTTTGCAGTCTAGCTTCAACCCCATCCTCCCATGTTGATGGGGAAGGTCTAAACAAAGGCGCTAATTAGACAGTGGTGTGTTCCCAATCTCATGAAGACTATATCTAACTGTGGTTACAGCCTCCATTCAGATCTTCTCTATATGGGAAGAGCATATCCCAAAAGAGGGCCCATCTTATCTAGAGAATATTTCCAGCTTAGTGGAAAATTCTCTCAGATGTATACCATGTTTCCCCGAAAATAAGACAGGATCTTATATTAATTTTTTCTCCAAAAATGCACTAGGGCTTATTTTCAGCGGATGTTTTATTTTTTTCATCTTCAACAATCTACATTTATTCAAAGACAGTCATGTCATCTTCTTCTGGTTGCTGCACAATGGTGGAGCGCAAGATTTCACTTAACTAGGTCTTATTTTGGGGGTAGGTCTTATATTACGAGCATCCTGAAAAATCATACTAGGGCTTATTTTCAGGTTAGATCCTATTTTCAGGGAAACAAGGTAGCTATAGCTCACTAGTCAGCTGCAGCATGCAAAAGATTGCAGGTGTCTCTATATAGAGTAGGAAAGAATTCTGCTTGAAACCCTTGCAGATTACTGCCAATCAAAGCTGACAATACTGGGCTAGATGGACCAACAATTTGATTTAGTATAAAAAAGCTTCTTATAACACTTCTCTTACCTCTTCATAAAATTCATACAGCGTGACCATGTTCTCCAGTTCACTTCTTCTCTTTTGTGTTTGAATGGTGATATTACTCAGATATCTACGAAAGGCTTGACATTCTTCCTCAGATTTTAGCAAAGAATTCTCTTTTAATAACTGTAGTCCTTTTTGGGAGTATTGCTGTAACACAGAACATGAAGCTCACTAAGTAGCATGCTACCATGCTTTTTGACCAAGTTTTTTTAACCATAAAAGAAAAAGAGAAGAATTTGGGGAACTTTGCTAGCTGATAAGTAGAACCATTTTCAGCTGCTGGAAATGGTCAAATTCTGGTGTGGATATTACAGAAGTTGAAAGCTTTTGCTACAGAGTGACACCATGCTTTTCATTTCTATCAAGAAAGGAAATTAGAGGCACATGAAGGCATTATTTCTGGGTTTTTCACGAGTACTTCCTTGTGGGACCCATGAGCTGCACTTTTCTCTCAGTACTGTTAGCACTGTTAGTACACTGTTAGTAATACATGGTGCTTGCCTGCCCCTTACTTATGTATACGTTTACAACAAACCCCTGGTCAAAATGATAAAATTAATTTTAATTCAATAGTTACTGTTTATTTTTTACATTGGCCACAATTTAAAAAATCCTGTGTCAGCACATGCCAAATTCTCTAAGTTTTATTTGCTTTCGTCCTTTTCTGCAAGCTTTTTATATTCACTGAAAATCTTCCATGATCCTACTACAACTCAGTAGACATAAGTATACATTTCTTCTACAAATGTCAGTAAGTTAAGGAAATTTAATTATTCATATTAAAGTTTCATAAATGCAAATGCCATCTAACACAGAAGTTCTATAGTCATAATTAGTACATAACACAGTTACTTGCCTTTCTCTTTCATAGCAAAGGTGAATTTCTTATGGCTTCTATGTGCTTGCAGGTTTATGTTCCCATCCTATGTATTTTAAGCAACTGGTATTCATTAATTTCATCTCAGTTGAGTTGCTCTATTTGGTTATACCACTTTGTCTTTTCCTCCCTCCCCTCCATTCTACTTTTCTCCTTCTGTCATTTCATTTTGTCCTTTTTCTCCTCTACTTGCTCCCTTGACCAGTGGACTTAATTCTACGTCAACATGCCTGTTGTCAACAGCAAGCAAGAACTTGCTCAAGTCTTTCTCTTTCCTTCCTCAGCCCAGTCCTGAAAACTAGCAATCAGGTGTGCATATGTGTGCATACACATGCACACACTGAATGCACATGCACACACACACACAAACACACACACATGCACAAAAAATGCAAAACTTGCAAAGAACCTATTTCCTGTTAATAGCCCATTTTTCACTATTGGGCAAATTTCTGTTTAACTTTACGGTAGGGCAAACGGAGTTAGTCCTGAAAAACCATCTTGTACCATCTAGTGGCCAATGTTTTCCCATTTTTAAAAATTCTGAGTAGTAGGGCAGTGAGTGGTTCCCAATCTTGGGTTCCCAGATGTTATTGGACTGCAACTCTCAGAAATCCTGACTAGCAACAGCTGGTGGTGAAAGCTTCTTGGAGTTGCAGTCTGATAACATCTAGGGATCCAGGATTGGGAATCACTGGAGATGGGGAATCCCAGGGCTGCCAGGGGCCCCTGAAAGCATGGCAATATTGCCCCCGACAACCTCTAAAGAGTATCTGGATCTTTCTGAACCATTTTTCCCAATGAAATTTATGTATTTATGGATATGGGGGAGCTGGGGGTTCCAGGTGTGCTGGAGGGCATATTTCAGCTCCAGAGCAGCCACATGCAGACTTTGGGTCACATGTTTCCTAACCCAATTTAAAAACAGAAGTTGTTGGAGCAATTTTTGGTGGAAGGGTATTCCAGATTACTGGTGCCAGCAAAGGTAAATGCCCTGCTTTGAACAAGTGCATAGAAGTCCATCAAGAAGTCTCTCTAGATGGCCTCAAGAACTGAATGGACCTACAAGGCAAACCACAGTCCCTCACCTAAGCAAGTCTCATTTAGGACTTTATGGGTTAAGAACAAAACTTCTAGCCCAACATGCTGGCAAACAGGTAGCCTTTCTTCAGTCACCTATTTTAACTATACATCTGAAGTTTTAGAAAAACACCAAAGGTTCTTAGACTTACTATTGCTTTTTCACTGAAAACTAAGAATTCTTCATGTAGTCTTTTCACATTTTCACCTGAAAGCTGTTCTTGATCCAAAGACCCAAGGTATTTTTCTTTTTCTTTTTCAAACCAGATTTTTATCTGCAAGTGAGTAATAAACAATTACTCCAAAAATATGACCAAAAATATATGAAATTTTACAATAACCTTATAAACACCTTTTTTTAAAATTTCCTACAAACTGTATATATCACTGGCTATCATTGCTTGGTTATTACTTTCTCTTTTTGATATGTATGGATGACTATAAAAGTAGTATTCTGTACTCAGACTCCTCCACTCTCAGATGTTCCTATGTGTTTGACCAAAAAGATGTTCATGTGGAGAACAATGGAACAGTGCTTATGAGGGCCAAATCATGTTATTTTAAGCATGTAGCTGCAGTCCTCATCACATCATCTATTAATTTCCTACAATATCTAAAAACAAAGCTAAGCATACTGATGTCACATCCTAGCTTCTTTAAATGTTACTGATATTATCAGTATGTTTTTGCTGCATATTATGATGTTCCTTTTGCACCAGTTAGTGCAGCACTTTTTTCTGTGACACTCTGCTCCTTTTCATCCCTCCTGGGCTTCTTTTTAGTACTGTATTGTTTTGTACTGTGGGTGAAATTGATCAACATGGCGCTCACCATCTGAAGAGAGCTTCTCATTCAGAAGCTCTGAATTAGTACTAGAAAAAGAAAGAAAGATAAAAGGAGGGATTTTTAAATACAGTACTGTATTTTCTAAAGAAAAGAAGGTTTCTTACAGGGAACAGAAGTGGGTTTAAAAAGAAGTTTGGATGCAAATCTTAGTGAACTCTGTGCTTCTTTGGCATTAAGTAATAGAAAGAAGGGTGACACAAATTCTTTGGAAGGGCCCATAGTTTCAGGTAGTTTGTGTAAGTCTGAATGGGCCTTAAATCTTATTTCAAACTAGGAGAGGCCTTAGGAAATCTGGAACTGTAGTTCTTTCAAGGCTAAAAAACAGTCACTACTTGCCATGTTGGGGTGGGGGGAGGCAATCATAGTAGAACTGACCTCGTCATGTCCTTCTTCAAAACTTCTTATTGCCAACACATTCTCCAGACCTTGAAGGCATTTATTGGACAACAAAACCAGCCTATGAACCTCCTCATCTACTTGATTATATAGCTTTGTAATCATTTCCATGGCATCTCTATTGGGGAGAAAATAAATACGCATCAGCAATTCATCTACTTAATTATATAACTTTATACTCAGCTCCACAGCAACTCTATTGGGAGGGGGAATAAATATCCATCAAACCTTTTCAATTTTGGATACTGCCAGCAATTAAGTTATTTTCTTAACATAATTTCAGCTCCTGAGAGAACCATGAAGCTCTCTATTTCCTCAGTGTAGTATTAACATTAAAGGATGCAAATTAGAGAACTGGTTGCTATTTCCATACACATACATACACATGCCAATCATAGCTTTGGACCTTCCTGAAATTCAAGGTCTCCACCTGGATATTATAGAAGCCACTTTTGGAGTCCTGAGGAATGGAGAACCTGCTTTTGAAAGCTCAAATTTTGAGTGGTCAGCTCCAGGCACTTTCCAGTGACAGAGCTAGCACATCAATCAGAAACCCAGTTCAGGCAATGGTGAGGTATGGAGGATGGTGAAAAAGAACCAAGCCAGACAACAGCTAAAGTGTGAATGGCCCATGAGTCACTATAAAGCTGTTTTAAAACAAACTAAAGCACATAAACATGCCTTTTATAGTACGTGGTGGTTAGCAGTAAAAAGAAGTTATTTTGCTATTTCTATTGCCTCCATCTAACTTTCAAGCAGAGCTCTCCAGAGTGGTCCAGGGATTATTAAAATCTATTTATGTCAATGGAAGTCTGGGAACATCAGTTTCCATTCATTCTGGTCACTATCTGAGAACCATCTTGTCATTTACATTCTTATATGGTACTTGAAGGTGAAGAACTCTTGGTGGTGCAGCAGTATCCTAAAGTCTATTTTCTAGTTGTTTGGAGAATACTACTTAGGGTGCTGGCATCCACTGGCTGAAATCCAGTAGTAAGTCATAACTAGAGTAAACCCATTGAATCAGTGGGGTGAGTCAGCTCCTGACAATTCTTATTTTTAGACACTTTTAAACAAGTATCTAAAAATAAGACTTTTTAGAAGCAGCCTCTTTGCCACCAACAGTTAGCAATTTGTATTTCTGGCCTTTTTTCTCTGTCTTTTTGTGTTGGTAACTGGAAGCTCCAGTCGCAGGTCAAGCAATTTTGTGGCTGGAGCTGGTTCTAACTCAAAATGGTCATATGTTGGGATGTTCGTAAGTTGAGGCACCACTGTATTTGCAGATTCTTCTAGTGTACTGTAGCCTACAACATATTTCACACTGGATAAAATAGACATTATATATTGATTTTAACTATTATTTTATAATTGTTTTACATCACTTTGAAATAATTAGATGTAAGCAGTTGATAAATGCAAGTAAGTAATACACAGATAAACCTCTATGGTGCATATACAAGTACTTTGCATCTCTACATGTGACGTTTCACTGTGGACTTTGCCTTTGGAGCTGTCAAAATATAACATTTAATACTCATTATAATGTTCATTTTGGGCTTCTCTGGTACCAAATGTCCATCTAAACTAGACTTTGAAAATCCCATCTTCTTATGTGTGTGCTTCTCTAAATCAGAAATGCATAATCTTTGGCCCATAAAGCTGCATTCAGAGAAACCTTTAAGACTGTACTTGCTATGCAAAACTACATGCGCAAAAGTACAGTTCTTATCAATCTGGATATTTTCCAACCAAAAATATAAATTATAGCTCAATTCAGTTCATGCCTACTCAGAACTAAACCCCACTGCAACAGATTACAGGCATGCAAAACTCACCACAATTTCAAACATGCAAAGCAGAGCCCAATCTATAAATGCTTACTCAGATGTGTGCTCCAGTGTAACAAATTTCAGTCATGCAAAATGAAATGAAGTTCTGCACATGTCACCTGAGAGGTTACCTGAAATAGCATGTATTTAAAGAATACAAAGAACAGCTCAAGGCATTTTAAAAGCTGGTTCCTTACAGTTTAAATACCTTTTGAATTTTAAACAGCCATAAACGGCCATCTTTGATCACTGGCTGGTGGTAAGAAGATGTTTCTTTGCTTGGCAGCTAATGAGAGCATGATAGCAGGCATCAGTCTGGATCATACAGCTGCTAAAAGCAGTGGGAAAATGGACAAGGCCCATATATTCCATGGCAAAGTGTTGTATTGTCTCCCTTGAACCAACATTAATTGCCCTTTGCAATGCCTAATATGACATTTAAAATTTTCATGTTATTTGTCACATATTTTATTATATGCCAATTTGTTTTATAACATTACATTAGTTATATGCAATCCACAGTGCAACACTGTTGGCCAAGCAAGTACCTACCGATAATCTTCTGTATTGCAGAATTCCTCCTTCCTAAGCCGTGCAAGGATTGTCCCACCCTCAAGTCTCAAGGATACCAGCAGTTCATCTTCCAAAACAAGTTTCATCATTGTCTTGTGTTTGTTCATTAAGTCCATCACTTCCTAAACAAAATAAATACTGCCTATTTTATATTGCTAGTAGTTCTAGAGAATATATCTGAAAATGCTGCATTGGCTTCTTTGACCACTGTAAAGCTCACTAAGCCACTGCAGAGCAACAACCAGGGGAAGACTTTTATCAGCCTGATAAGCTCCAAGCACTCCTGGAGGAAACTGATACACTTGATCCATTCCAGTTGGGCTTCAGGCCACAGCATGGTATGGAAACAGCATTGGTCACCCTGCGGGATGACCTCCTGAGGGAGGCTGACAGGGGGAATATGTCCTTGTTGGTCCTCCTTGATATCTCAGTGGCCTTTGATTCAGAAACAACTGTGGTCCAGTCAGCCCATTTCCATCTTTGGAGGATTGCCCAGCTGCGTCCCTATCTAGACGAGGGGGCATTAACGAATTTGATTTATGCACTTGTAATCAAGAATAGACTACTACAGTGCCAAATGTAAGTGCCTGTTCAAGCAATCTGGAGTTCTCCAATATATTTTATATGTAGGACAGCTTTATGAAAGGTCTACTAGTCTTCTGATTTTTGAAAGATTGGATCATTTGACTTAATTAATGGTGTACTGCCTACTCGGAGCAGGATACCTTCTTAATTTTATTTAAAAATAAATAAAAAATAAATGAATTAATTAATTTTCAGGTTCACCGCCAACCAAAAAAGAGCTATACTTACTTGTGCAGTACTTGGCATTAGACTACTGTTGAGTGAAGATACAGAGTGTTGCAAGAAAACAACAGCCTCCTTGCAGTTTGTAATAAATGGCTCAAGTTTCTGTAAGTATAAACACAGTAAGGGATTTATAAGGTAAAAGAAAAAAACCTGTTCTTCAATATTTATTTTTTTTTTTATTTATTTTATTTATATCCCATCTATCTGGTCGGTTAAGACCACTCTAGGCGGCTAACAGCATAAAATAGAACAATAAATATATATAAAACAATTTTACATAAAAATAGACATAATAGAATAGACAAATAGAAGGGAGAAAGAGGGCATCAGGGATTGACTGGAGGGAAGGCCGGCCGAAACATCCATGTTTTAAGTTGATTTTTAAAGATACCCAGCGAGGGAGCCACATAAATCTCAGGAGGTAGGTTGTTCCAGAGGCGAGGACATAATTCCTCTTACAATGGAATACATGTAAGTTCATAAAACTGCAACATTATATTATTAAGTAACAGCAGAGTCCTATTGGTGAGGTACACTGGCATCATTGCAATAGTATACACTAGTGCAGCCATGGCAAACCTATGGCATGTGTGCCACAGCTGGCACACAGAGCCCTCTCTGTGGGCATGCGAGCCATAAGTCGCCATCGAGAAATACTTACCCATCCTCTGATCCTGGATTTTGGCACGCCTCTCTGTTGGTGCAGTGGTCCAGCGGAGGGGTGCAATGGTGACCATTACCAGTCTAGCCCAATGGGGGATTGGAGGACCGGTAAGTATTTCTTTGTTAATACCACACATAGGGGGGAAAACCACAAGCATTTAACCCTTGTAGAGCAGGATCAGTTGTTTTTTCTAAACTAAAACCTCAGTATTTGGGTTTTAATTGCAGTGTTGGCACTTTAAAATAAATGAGTTGATTTTGAGTTGCAGTTTTGGCACTCGGGCTCAAAAAGGTTCATCATCACTGCACTAGTGTATTATTGCTACATAGTTAGCAAATGGCTGTGATGTGTCAGCCAATGTCTCCTATCCTATTCACATTACTGGATTTAGGAAGACTTTCTTTTGACTTCCACCTTCTATACACCTCTGTGTACATAGATATTCAGGATGTGTACAAGTACAGCACACACCATAATGAAATCCACTGACTTCACCGGTCACTGTCCTTGCCATGATAAGAGGGCTTGATTTGAAATCGCTTAGCGATGGGGTTTTGGCCATCGCCAGAGCGATCACTTAGCGATGGCCCCTATGGAGAAAAATCACTTCGCGATGATCACGGGGAAGCGATCATCGCAAAGCCCCCATTTTCGGCCAGCTGATCGGCGGTTCCAAAATGGCTGCCGGAAAAACAAAATGGCCGCCCACTGTTTTGCCTCGCTTTAGAGGCACCGAAAATGGCCGCCCCTATGGAGGATCTTCGCATAAGGTCAGTTTTGAAGCCCATTGGAAAGCATTAAACATGTTTTAATGCATTTCTATGGGCTTTTTTATTCCGTTTAGCAATGAAATCGCTTAGCAACGTTTTTTCCTGGAACGGATTAACATCGCCAAGCGAGGCACCACTGTACATGAAACCCTTTTCAGATGTTACAGTGCCATTTGTATTTATCCCTAAAAAGACAGGGGAAAACCAACAAACTAGCAGCAGATGTGGGACTGGAAAATATCACAATTAAAAGTCATAGCCAGAGAATTATGCTTTCCCCAGACAGCCAGGGTAGCAAGAAGGCAACAGATTTCAAATTTTAAAAGTATTTTTCTCCTTAATTTAAAATTCAAAAATGACAGGTTACCCACTTGTAATTGTAGTTCTTTGAGTGGACCTCTGTGATTCACACCCTGGATGATTCATGCCTGCGCAGAGCCTCACTGGAAAATTCTAGAGCTTCTGTGGTAGCAAAAAAACACATTAGAATAAGGCCCCTCCCCCCTCGTATAAGTATCTTGGTGCCAAGGCTCCACTTTAAGTTGTGTCAACTGCCCCTAAATTAAGCAGAATGACATGACAGTGGGGAGGACGGGCGGGATGTGTGAATCACAGAGGTCCACTCCAAGAGCTAAAGTTACAGGTGGGTAACCTGTCATTCTTCTTTGTGGTCTCTGTGAATCACACCCTGGGTGACTAAAAAGCTGTCTTACCCAGAGACAGGGTGTCAAGTCAAGGTAGAGGCTAGAACAGTACGTCCAAAGGCTGCATCAGACTTTTTGCCAGAGATCAAGTCTATAATGCCGGATGAAAGTGGATGGCTGTGCCCAGGGGGCAGAGGCGGAGACGTCTTGAAGAGGCACGTCACGTAGGAATGCCGTAGAGGTCGCCACTGCTCTGGTGGAGTGAGGGCAAATCACCTTCGGTACTGGTTTGCATGCCAGCTAATATGTGAGGTGAATGGTTGAAGCGACACATCTAGATATAGTTTGAGATGTCACCTGGCAACCTTTAGTAGGTGGTTGGTGACTTATGAAAAGTTGACATGAACGTCTGAAAGGTTGGGTGCGCTGGACGTAAAAGGCAAGGGCTCGCCTAACGTCTAAAGTATGGAGGATTCTTTCTTGAGTTGTGGATGGTGAAGGGAAGAAGGAAGGAAGGATAAATGGCTGAGAGAGATGGAATTAAGATATGACTTTGGGGAGGAAAGAAATATCCATGGATAGTTTGACTTTGTCCAGAAAAAACTGTAAATAAGGATAGCTGTGACGTAAAGATGCTAAATCACTAGCTTGTCAAGCTGAGGTGATGGCGACAAGGAAAACTGTTTTAAAGGCAGTAGCCATAAATGGTCTGAAGCTCCACATAAAGAAAAAGATCATGGGTCCCATCAGCTCCTGGCAAATAGAAGGGGAAGATATGGAGGCAGTGACAGAGTTTACTTTCTTGGGCTCCATGATCACTGCAGATGGTGACAACAGCCATGAAATTAAAAGATTCCTGCTTCTTGGGAGGAAAGCGATGACAAACCTAGATAGCATCTTAAAAAGCAGAGACATCACCTTGCTAACAAAGGTCCGCATAGTCAAAGCTATGGTTTTTCCAGTAGCGATGTATGGAAGTGAGAGCTGGACCATAAAGAAGGCTGACTGCCGAAGAATTGATGCTTTTGAAGTGTGGTGCTGAAGGAGACTCAAGAGTCCCCTGGACTGCAAGGAGAACAAACCTATCCATTTTGAAAGAAATCAACCCTGAGTGCTCACTGGAAGGACAGAACCTGAAGCTGAGGCTCCAATACTTTGGCTATCTGATGAGAAGAGAAGACTCCCTGCAAAAGACCCTGATGATGGGAAAACGTTAAATGCAAGAGGAGAAGGGGACGACTGAGGATGAGATGGTTGGACAGTGTCATCAAAGCTACCAACATGAATTTGACCGAACTCCGGGACGCAGTGTAAGGCAGGAGGGCATGGCATGCTCTGGTCCATGGGGTCATGAAGAGTTGGACATGACTTAAGGACTAAACAACAACAGCCATAAATCAGTTGAAGGTAAAGGTTTGAAAGGAGCTTTAGTAAGTTGTTGCAGTACTAGTGCTAGTGACCATTGCAGGAAAGGAGGGCGGGTATCTGGGTAGATATGAGATAGACCTTTAAGAAAAACATTTCAATGTTGGATGCTTGAAAAAAATTCAGCTGTCAGAGAGTTAGGGGGCTGATAAGAAACTACGCTGGAGAGGTAAACTCTCAAGAAAGAGAGGGAAAGACCACTAGACATGAGATGAAGCAAAAAACGTAGAGCAGTAGCAAGTGATGGGTTGATAGAAGGCAATGAAGAAGCTTCATTCACATGGTGAATGCTGCTGATGAATAAAGCCATCTTCCCATTGAGTCGATCCTTCTACTGTCTTTATCTGGTGGTATGAGGGTCTACTGATGTCAAGATCTGGATTGTGAGGCTTTGACAAAAACAGAGTTTGGAGCTGGTTGTTTTTTGAAGAAATGGAGCTCCAGGATCATGGATTCTGTAGAGGTTATTCATTTGTTTAGACATGGTATGGGAAGAGGCTGGTTTTGTCCAGGATCATTGAGCGGTGCTGAGTAGAGACGGAAGCATCAAGATGTGTACTAGAGTAGTTGTATCTTTAGAGATTGGGTTGTATAGATGATCGGCCGGTTCTGTTGAGGGACCGTGGATTTGCAGATTGAGAGACAGATATACGGATCATAAGTTGGCTGTAAGTTTGGAAGTTTTCCACCGGTGAGGATTCCGGTAAGGTAAGTAATACTGACGGCATCTGAGGTCTGGATCCGTGATTGAAATAATCAGGATCGCATCAGGAGTCGATGGATTGTCGATTGACTTCAGTGATAGGTTGAGTGTCATAATATTGACGTTTGTGGCTCGATGTCGATGGAGGCAGCATGTCCATGGGCATTTGTCAGTGTCAAGGATTTTTGATATTAAAATATGTCATCCGAGTGTCCATGGATGTTGTTTGATATGGTTGAACATCGGTATCAAACTCAGGATCATAGTGATATTGAGTTTGATGGTTTGGTTCTATTGGATGACGGAAATCGTGCATTGATAGAGGGACACATGCATCCATGGGCCAGGATGGATATACTGTAGAGGATCATCGATATCAGAGTCTGTTGTTGACGAGCTTGTAAAGCAGTGGAGTATATAGACACTGAAGATGCCGAGCAAGAGGAATGATTTTCCTCCTCTGGATTAACGGGAAAATATCGGGAGGCTGGATCTGTAAAAGCCTCATGTGTAGAAAGAAATTGCTCGACCATCCTGGGTCTTTTAGGAGCGAGGTAGGGAGCAGGTGTCATGAGTTCAGCCAAAGAAGATCTGGCATCTGAGGGGTTAATTTCAGCTGAGGAAAATAATGGGCAATTAGAAGCACGGACAGCTGAATCACCACCAGATTCTCCTCCACCAGTAGCCAGAGTGAGGGACAAGCTTCAGCAAAGACTCATGACGTGAAGATCCGAAGCTCACATGAATGCTTCCCATAGGAACATCAGGTTGACCAGTCCTGAGTTTTAATGGGTTGAAAGCTTCTAGGACTTTGATGGTTGCTGCTCCTATATAATTTGTACCTAGAAGGCTTGGAAATCTGTGAAAGCAACAAGTCCATTCTCTGACTTGCGTCCAGATTCCTGCTATCTTTAACCTTGCTTACTTAACTCTTGGCTCTTGGACTTTGACTTCTGACTATGGTTCGTGTTTTGGCTTTGATAATTTGGCATTTGTTTTGTATCTCCCAGACTTCTGACTTTGGACTGACGTATTTGACTTTCGCCTGCTGTATCCCCTGGAAATGTGACAGCAGGTTGGAGTTGATATGGGTCACGGTGATATGGCTGTTTCAACACTGATGGCTGTCGAGATCGAGGCCCGCCATGAGAAGGTATGGCCAAGCTGGATAGAGCAACTGACTGATTGGCGGTTGCAGTTTGTCTGGTCAAGCACTGGTTAGGGCAAATGGCAACCTGGTGAGAGTGCTGAACATGGGTCTGAGCCACACATGATGAAACAGACAGCTCCAGGCACTGTTGGGGCCAATGTCCCTGAGGAGGTCATGGTGGACGATCAGATGTCACCAAATAAGGTATGGTCTCTAGTTGTTGTCCGGAGTCGACCCTGTCAGGTGAAGCAACTACAGAGTGTTGAGGACTGAGAGGAGAAGATGTTAATCAATCGACTCTGTCATCCCATTCCAGTGACTGGGAGCAGGGTTGATGAGAGGGGATTCCGTCATTGTCAGAAGGTGAATCAATAGAGATTGATTTAGCGGTTTGTTGAGGCTGCTGAGAAATGACTGCAGTTGTAGATTTACGCTGTTTAGGTCTTTTAGGTGGAGAAGGCTCTGGAACTGAAGAGGCTTCGGTGGACATTTGACGTTTAGGGGAGGGCTTCGATATCGAGGATTTTGGTATCGAGCACTTTGATTTATGGGTTTTTGAAGTTTTAGATGAAGTGGATGGAGCATCGGAGTGGGATGGTGTGATTGATGAATGTTGTTTTGAGGCTTCAGAAAGAGCCTTGTCCATTGCTTTGGTTTGTGAGGTGGCCTTACAAGGAGGTTGGGCCATTTTGGTTGGTTGAAGGGATTGTGCCCAAAGACGGAGTTTTAATCTGGATAAGCAAGAATGGAGAATTCCATGCTTGAAGTTCTTACAATGCTTGCAGGAGGATGTCTGGTATGTCTCTCCCAAGCAAAAAAGACACTTGGCGTGGCTGTTGGAGAGTGGTACAGTGGTGCCTCGCATAGCGAGGTTAATCTGTTCCGGATTAACCTTCGCTATGCTGAAGCATCGTTGAACGGGGCAGGGAATTCCATTGGAACGCATTAAACATGGTTTAATGCATTCCAAATGAGCCGAATACTCACCGTTCAGCGATGCTTCTTAATGGCCGGCAGCCATTTTCGCGCCCTCGCCTCGCTTAACGAGGGCGCGAAAATGCTGTGCGTGGCCATTTTGGGCCATTTCCGGGCTTCCGGCGGCCATTTTGGCCACCGAACAGCTGATCATTGGGCTTCGTTTTGCGAAGATCGGTAAGCGAAATGCTTACCGATCTTCGCAAAGCAAGTTTTGCCCATAGGGGCCATCAGTATGTAAGTGAGGCACCACTGTATTTTGTTATCACAGATCACACAGTGTTTTAACGGACCCAAAGGGACCATGAATAGGAGAAAATAATTTGAGGACAAAAAATGATGATGGGGGGTGCTGCAGCCAGAGGCCAAGCAAAATAGAAAAGAAAAAAATATCTGATGATAATTTGATCTAAAAGTTTAAAAGAAAAAAAGATTGATAACAGGAAGGAATCAAGAATAAACTCTCTTTCTCTTTTACTCACAGAAGCAGAACTATGAGGCTCTCAATGCAGCGGTTGAAAGAAACTGAAAGGGGAGCCTTGGCGCCAAGGTACTTATATGAGGGGGTTGGGGCCTTATTCTAATGTGTTTTTTATTTATTGCTACCACAAAAGCTCTAGAACTTTCCGACAGGGCTCCGCGCAGGCGCAGATCACCCAGGGTATGATTCGCAGAGGCCACAAAGAAGAACAAATGTGACATAATTTTGATTTTGGAGAATAAATAACAATGTTGACCTCCAGGGATTAATACCACTTAAAGAAGAGGAGATCACACCATATTCTAGGGTAATTTGGCAAACACTAATAATTTGTGTGTGTGACATAATGATGCTGTGGGTTAAACTGCAAAGCCTCTGAGCTGCAAAGCTGAAAGATCAGCAGTTCAAATCCACATAACTGAGTGAGCTCCCGTCGCTTGCCCCAGCTCCTGCCAACCTAGCAGTTCAAAAGCATTTTAAAATGTGAGTAGATAAACAGGTACCACCACGGTGGGAAGGTAACGGTGCTCCATGTCTAGTTGCACTGGTCACGTGACCATGAAAACTGTCTACAGACAAACGCTGGCTCTACGGCTTGGAAACGGGGATGAGCACTGCCCCCTAGAGTCAGACATGACTGGACAATTTGTCAAGGGGAACCTTTACCTTTTTAATAATTTGTATAAATAGTGTGTTGTCCACATATACATTGTTCTTAACTGAACTGAGAGGACCTTCTTATAAGAATTCATACTGGTATAAAGTAATTAGATATTTTGCCCTCATTAGATATGCATCACAATGCAGCTCTGCCACATATTTTTAAAAAAGTATCCAGGGACCAAATAGCATTAAAGCAGAGGAGAAGAGGGCGGGGGAAAGATTCCGATTGTTTTTTCTATCATTACTGTCTTCCAACTCTTCTCAAGAACTGGAAGCCATCTTAACAGGACAAATGTACAGTATTTGGAAGAGGACAAAGGCAACAGGAAAGGGAATGGCGCTTACAAGTTTCTCCTATCTACCTAATCATTCCTCAGCCCTCTTTATAGCTCAGTATCAAGCAAAGTGTTTTGCAACTTCTTAAAATTCCTAAAACATGGGTGGAAAACTGCTGGGCCACATTGCCCCTGCATCTAATCCATGGCCTCATCAGTCCAACATCCTTGTAGCATGGAAAATAAGGCCACATTTGTACAAACTGGACTTTTCTTTCAAAGCCTTATTGACATGTCAGGGAGCATTTTCAGGAAATGTGGCTGCTGGGGAAGGAGGCTTATCCCTCCTCTCCCTGTACGTTTCCACCTCCCAACAGACATGTTAAATATATGCCATTTGTGGAAATTGAACTTTTTTCTAAAACTAATTGCTACTTGGGAAGGAATGCTATAGAAGGAAGGGGAGAAAAAGAAGGTAGAAAGAAGGAAAATGTGGGAAAGGGAGAGAGAAGAGCAGGCGAGAGGAAAAAGTGACAAAAGGAAAATGGGTAGCTTACTGCTAGCTCTAGCCATGCCCATTTTTGGCTCTCCTCCTTTAAATCCATTCTTGTTATTCAGCTACCAAGAGAGTCCCCCTGAATGTGGTTTTTCACATAAATAAGGCTCCCCTTTGTGATAAAGTGCCCTTTAGTAGGGAAAAGCAGTATCTGATCTTCAAACTATTTTTCACTGTAATGATCAGGACTGCTCACTCGAAGCTCCCTCTTCTGGAATGTGATTTAATAGAGGGTGTTTATTTTCTGAGGAAAACTCAGCAGCTTAATTTGGACTTTGTGGCAATTTTTACTATTTCATTTTCCATCTCCAGAGTTCAGCAACATCTGGAGATGGAACAATAGCTGTTAATTTGGTTCGTTAATTCTAGCATTGTGCCAGATCCTCTTAAGCATGATTTGTTCTGGAACTGAATGCTAGATTCACACAGATTTTTTACTCTAGTAAGTATCATTAACTTGTAACTCATATGACCAACTAAATGTAAATAAGGTTAAAACATTTTTAGAATGAACATTTTAAAGTTGTTCTAAAAGTTCCAATATTAACTCACCCTTCGGAAACATATCCAGTCGTTATGATTGTAAGGAAACATGCCATCAAACTCTGCTGTCAATTGGGTGCAGTCAATAAACCTATGCAAGGCCTTCAGTGATGTGAGAACTTCACACTATCAAACAAAGACAGCATCTATATACAACATGCATGCATCAGGGTTTTCAATGGAACTTTCATTGTGTCAGGCAATGTCAACTGAAGACCTCAAAAGCTTCTATTATATCTATGATCACTTTTAACATCATTTCTAGGAAGAAGGAAAAAGCTTACAAGTACAGGTTGTCAAGAACTGATCTTATATAGCACTCTCCATGATCAATTTCTCTGGGACATTGTGAGTTTGCACATTTTTAATACTATATTAAAACAGGACAACACATTGATAAAGCTCATACAACACTTCAAGAAAATTCACAGGAAAATATTGGAAGGTATCCCTAAAATAACTCGTTCTCCCCAAGAAAGGGGTGAAACAAAGAGGACTGATTAATTTTTAAAAGATTCAACTGTATCAGAAGGAATCATGAGACCATATCTTAGTCCTTTTGATATGGAAGTATACTAAATTCAGTGAGGCTGCAGCCTCAGCTTTGTGCATAAAAACTATAAAGTGTGCAGTGGTTAGATACTAAATTCAGTGAGGCTGCAGCCTCAGTTTTGTGCATCAGAACTATAAAGTGTGCAGTGGTTAGACACTGACTTCATGTTAATTATTCTTTTGATCCCAAAAGTCCAAAGAAAGTGGCAGTAGTGAATAGTCTGAAATAACAGTAAGTATGACAATTTGGCCAAATTATCTTTAAAGGAAGAGTGGGAAACGCCACTCACCTGGACATTGGACAATCACACAAATGCTGACCCCCTTTCTATTTTTTCTTTATAAACTGAAAAGGCCCACTCTAGTGGTTATGGAGAGTTACAGTGGTGCCTCACTAGACAGTTACCCTGCATGACAGTTTTTTCGCTAGACATTGACTTTTTGCGATTGCTATAGTGATTCGCAAAACAGTGATTCCTATGGAGGAATTTCGCTGGACAATGTTTGGTCCCTGCTTTGCAAACCAATTTTCGCTTGATGACGATTTTGACAGCTTCCTCCACGCACGCAAAACAGGTGTTTTCGGGACCTAAGCTTCGCAAGACAGTGATTTAAACAAGAATCAACTAAAGCACTTATGAAAGAATCAGAAGAGTTTGGAGAAATGGCAGATCTGAAAATAAACCACAGAAAGACAAAAATTTTATCTAAAAACATGCAACGTAAAGAAATAGGAGACCCTTTGAATCTCACAAATTTTCAGGTGGGAAGGAAAGTAAAATACCTTGGAATAAATTTCACAAAAAACCCAAGTACCTTAATGAAAGATAATTATCTGAAATTGATGGAAGAAATAAATAAAGATTTGACTAGATGGGGAAATCTACAATTAACAATGATGGGCAGAACTGCAACAGTCAAAATGAATATTTTACCAAAGCTAATTTTAAAATTTCAAAACATTCCAGTGATTTTGAAACAATCAATATTTAAAGAACTTGATCAGATAATATCTGAGTTTTGGACGTGGCATGCCTTTCTTTGGTACAGTAGAGTGGACGATTTTAAACAATTGAATAATCACATTTTGAGAAAATCTTTATTATCATCTTGGACCAAAATTCAAAGACAGATGTATGTCAAAATACCATGTTGGGTAACGCCAGTGGAGGTATTGTCTCTAAAACCAGATGGGACATTAAAAAACAAAGATGAACTAATGACACAGGGGTCTGATATAAATTGGTGGTCACATTTTCAGTTGATTTCAAGATATGGTAAAGATAAGCAGCAAGGTTTTTATTTAGACAATAACCCCTTTGACAGAGTCCTTCTGGATCCAAAGACAAGCATATTAAAGCATTATATAATTTTTTTACTAGATTTTGATACCCAGGAGGAAATGGTTAAAGAATGTATGATAAGGTGGGCACAGAATATTGGGCACAATATAAGTTTGGATCAGTGGGAACAAATATGGAAAAACAATATAAAACTTACTAAATAAGTATTTTAAAGAAAAAATATATAAAATGTTTTATAGATGGTATACAACTCCCACAAAACTAGCCAAAATGGATGTTAGAATTTCAAATCTCTGTTGGGGGTGTAAACAAAAAGAAGGTTCTTTTTATCATATGTGGTGGTTATGTGGGAAAGCCCAAAAATATTGGGAAAGGGTTGAAATGCTTTTGCATGAGGTTTTGGAGATTCCAATAACTGTAACCCCCGAATTTTTTCTTCTAAATATAATCCCAGATTGAATTGACCTAATGAAAAAATATTTAGTTATCCATATCTTGACAGCTACAAGAATTCTTTTTGCTAAACACTGGAAGGACCCAAAGAACCCACCTCAAGATGAGTTAATAGCAAAAATCCTGGATACGGCAGAGATGGACAAACTATTAGAATGGCTAGACTCAACAAGAAAGATGAACCATGAAGATTGTTGGCATAAATTTTTTGATTGGCTTAGAAATAGAATGTAAATTAATATTTGATAATTGAAAGCCTAAGATTAATTTAAAATTATAATATGTATGATAAATTAGTTACACCGGAAACATATGTATCTTTGAAATGTAACAGATAAGAATGAATATTGTAAAATGTTCATGTTGATTTACAACCCCTGTTTAATTCCATGTCCCCTGTCCCCATCCCTAATCTTAACCCCTAAAATAATTTTTTTTTTTTTTTAAAAAGGAAGTGAAACATGGTAAGATTGCCCTCTAAGATTTCTGAAAAAAATTATGGCCAAAAAAAATGTGTGTTTGGAATAGTGAAGGCCACACTCAGCTCCTAAGGGGGTGCATGTCAGCCGTGCGATGGGTTTTACCCACTCTCCGGGCAAAAACATCATCGTGAAGCGGATTCGTCATTATACGGGGTAATCGTTAAGCAGGGCACGACTATATAGATACCCCTGGGACAAGTGCTCTACAATCCCAGACAAACAAAAGATAAATTACAAGCTATGCTATCAATTACATTTAAAATGTTAGGTTTTTTTTATTTTAATTTATTTTACCTGAAATGGAACCTCTTTGTCAGGTCTAAAAGCAGATTCCTTATCAACCAGTATCAATGCACTGTGAATGGAATGAGGAACTGCAGCCTAAAATATAGGAAAACAAATGTGATGAAACACAGTATGTACATTTCACACTTATATACAGTTACTACACATTAATTGGCAATCATCAGTGTTTTTTCTTTTAATGATGAGATTATCCTTCAAGTAAATCTGAATCAGTACAAATCAAATGCAGCAGGAATTTCTGAGAAGGATTCAAAACAGGAAGATAGAAAACAGAGCAATCCAGCCAGTGCATGCCTTCTCCCTAACAGTCCAATAGACTGTGCTGTCCTATGCATTACAGTTAAAAGGCTGAGTCCAGATTCATGGAACTAAAGTTAGTAATTTAACTCTTACTAGTTTCAGTGGGTCTATGCTTTAATTCAATTAAGGGCTGGAATCCATGCTGGCACAACTCTCAGTTGCACAAGTAACTGTACCATTTACCACATGCAAGGAGATATCACAGATTTACCTGTGAAAGCCATTCCCACTGCAACAAGAAAACAGATAGCAGCAAATAGGCAGGAATCTGGCACAAAAGCACAGGTCGATCTCTTTCCACGAACTGCAGTTAGGTGCTGTCACTTCCCACTATGCCCTCTGATACACCTCCACCTTGCTACCCGCCTATGCCAGATCCCACAGTCCCACACTGGCAGGGCTTTTTTTTTTAACATTGGCACTGAATTGGACTTTGGCCATTGTTCTAGATCCATCATTCTGGATTCTTTAGGAGGGTGTTACGGCAAGTGAGACCAACTGAATTCATTGAGCTCCACCTCAGAGTAAATGTGCCTAGGATCCTTATGTGTCATTTCTCCATTTCATTCTGATGTACAGCACTGGTAATTTTTTTTACACTTTTGAAATACAATAATTCAAATGGTGCAATCACAGGCTTTGTAGCTCTGTGTAGTTGTGTCTACTGAAAGAACAGAAGTGTTTAACTTTGACAGTCCAAAGTTTTACTCCAAATACAGTTGCAAGGGCCATTCTGTCCTTAAGACAATTTTGCTGTTAAAAAGAAGAAAAATAACAATTATTCCTATAAATAAATTCTTGTTCTTTTTATTCTGATTCTGATTCTTAATGGCAACATTATCTTAAAGACAGAATTATCACCATCATTCCACAGGAATGGGGAATCTTCACCCCATTAACCTCTGTTCCACAGTCTCCTTGCTCTTCTCAGGTAATACCTCACATCTACTGTTAAATCAGTAGCTGGTCAGCTTTCTCATCTTTGAGATTCTGAAAAATTCTTACCTGCAGTTTGCAAAAACTGAGGGATACATTTCTTTTTCTTATTCCCAAGTGTTAAGAAAGTTAAATGCTTTGTTTTATATCTGCAGTAGATTGAAGATAAGGCTTTCCCCCTGCTCAGTGCTCCTTTGCTCCTGTATTGTATGGTGAGGAAGGTAGCCTGTTTCCCACTGCATAGCCCAAGCAAATCATTTTGTGCATATGTGTCCATGTGCATGGTTGCATGCATAAGCAGCTCATGACTCAGGGGGTGGTAATAGTACATTTGGGGGAGACACTACCCCTGCTCCATCCACAAGCCACCACAAGTGTATGCATGTGTATAATTGATGTGTGTGGATGTGGAGGGTATATGTGCAAACTGGCTCTGTCCAAGCAAATTCTGAAAGCCCTACAGAGTTTGGCTCTCAAACTACAAGGAGTTTCCCATCCTTATTATATGGCAGATTTAACTTGGCTAGCTTCAGTAATATGTGCTGAAGCTTGCCAAGGGCAGTATGTATTGTTCTGCATATGAAGACTCACATATGTTATAAAATCCGGATATTTGCTCTGCAAGCAAGAGAGGAAATATATAGTCTAAATGAATTGTTCTTCTGTTAAATCTTCAATGTCAGAAACATTTTTTCCATAGAACATTTTTGAAGGATTTTTATTTTTTCCCCCTGCAAATACAAAGTTTGACATATTATGGATTAAAAGGAAAATATCTTCAGAAGTGGAACTCTTATAAGGGAGCTGCCAGATTCCTATAAAGAAATGAAATAATAGCATAAGAACTGCTGGATAGCTCTGTGGTTTAGGTCTCTGGCTGCAGAGCCAGAGGTTGGGAGTTTGATTCCCCATTGCACCTCATTAACAGGGGCTGGACTTGATTATCCATAGGATCCCTTGCAGTTCTAAAATAATGATAATGATAATCTAGTTCTTCATTGCTACTTTTTCAGCTGAAGGCAAAACTTTGTTGAAACACTATGCCAAGATAGTCTTTTTCCAGAATTTAATCTACTGTCTCATTGGAATTTGTTTCACTCCAGGAAATACTGTAGCTATCATATTTCACTGAACAGAAACTACTACAGCCAGTTTATGAGATAATTACACTAGTGTGGATTCAACAACTATGATTTACATATATTTAAAAACTTGGTAACCTCAAAGCCCTTGAGGACTTTCAGTACATATTTCCTCAAAATCCTTTAAACTGATGGAGGATGACATCCAGACCTCATCATTACAGAGGGTAAATGGTTGCTGGAAATGTTGGAAAATGTGCCATGTTCAATACTTGCAGGCAAATAAAATCTCAGGTGACATCTTATTAAAACTCTAAGCTAAAGAATAAGAATATATGCACTTATGATCCAGATTTCTCTACTACAATAATATGAAGATAAATGAAAATAAATTCAAAATGCATCACAGAAAGAGGCTGATGGAAACATCAAAGGAAGAAGTATGTTCATGGATCCTGGACAGATTAACTGCACATACACCAGTATGTGTCTTACTGCTAGAATAATACCCATCTTTTATTAAACATTTCATATGAAACACATAATTACATGCACTCACTTGTAATGCTGTCAAGGCTTTAAAAAGAACAGATACAGCTTGACTCTTTCGAATGTCCACTAAAAAAAGCAGTCCTAAAGCACGGACATCTTTTCTGAAACAAATAAAAGAGACAGTCTTTAAATTAAACTTACAAAAATTAAATCTCAAAATGAAAATGAAACACAGGGCTATAAAGTGCACTGAGCAACATCAAAGAACGGCTTGCACCTACTACTTTAAAAACAACTGTCAGAATTACCCACTGTCATGTTGCCTATTATCTGTATCCTCACCTGTAGATGTGTAAATATATAGGACATGTATTCATGATGCTCCATCTGAGGAAGTGGGTTTTGATTCCTGAAAGCTCACATTGAAATAAAACTGGTATTCTTTGAAGTGCTCTTTTAAAAAACTTTTCTTCTGTCAACCCACAGATATCTAAAATTAATCAAATCATTTTGAAATACTATACAAGACCAAGCTAAGACCATGCTACTGAACATATATTTGCAGTGGAACTTTACCTTTGAAGAGTGAAGTGTTATAAGGCTTCATGAAAGAGAACCATGAAAGTTACTGAATATATGTATTTATTTAAATTATTTCCCCCTGTTGTCAGTTTTACAATCTAAAAAACATAACACAAGGGGAAGATGGGGGAATGGGAAGGGTCAAGGAGGAGAGAACATGTACTAGTTCTTAGCTGTAAAATCTTCCAACAATCAGCTGGAGCACACATACTGTTCAAGGAGAGGAGGATCCAAAAGTTGCTGGTGTTTAGTGAGCCTCCTTCGCAAAACATCCTCCTGCTACAGCAACTTTGTGTGGGACTAGTAATTCCACATGATGCTAATGTGCCCACCATGCACCTTAAGATTTGTTCATCCATTCTGTTGTATGGTCTGCATAAAGTAAAGTTGGTTGATTCTTTTGAAGTTTGGTTTCTGAAGAATTCCATGGTGGGCTCCTGAAAAGGACTTTCAATTTATTACTTTTTCAGCCAAGTAGCCCATCTAGCACAGTTTGTACAACTGTACATAAGCCATAGCAAGAGTGGAAGAACACTTCCATAAAGATTAAGATTTCCATCATTCTGGGGCACAATTCTCCAGATTATAAATTTGAGTTAAGCACAACAGTCTTCTGTTATCTGTCTGAACTTCTTTTCATTTACAATCAGTACTCACTCAGCTTTCAATTACAACACAAATGTTGCCTCACTGCCTAGACTTCTACTCTGGAAAGCAATTCACTTAACTTTGTGACAGCTCTTCTAGTGTTGCCCATCATCATAGGTATGTATACTGTTAAATACCGACATATCCAATTATTTTCTCAGATCATACAAGCCTGAATTATCTATGTGGTAGTAAAGCATCTGAGAATGTAATGTAGTTTTAGTTAATCAAAATAGTATGACCGTCTGAAGCCATTCATATACCGTATTTTTTGCACCATAAGACGCACTTTTTCCCCACAAAACAGGGGGGTGGAAAGTCTGTGCGTCTTATGGAGCAAAGAAAACAGATTATATTTTCCTGTTTTCTTCTCCTAAAAAATTGGTGCGTCTTATGGAAAGGTGCGTCTTATGGAGCGAAAAATACGGGTATTTTACAGTATTTTTACTGCCTGAATCCTTATAAGCAAAGATAGACTTCCACTGGTAATATAAATTTCACAGCACAGTTGCTCATCTCAGTCCTTTTCAAGGAGAAAGGTGGGATAAAAATATTTTAAATAAATAAATAGTATGTCCAGATCAGTATCTTATTTTCAGATCTGGGACAATATTTACTAAAATAGCTATAAATGGGTATGTGATGTCAAGACAGGCCTGCAGAGAAATTTTGAAGGGTGGGATGCATCTACTGCATCATCCTTTGCACAAATGATCCAGCTCAGGCCCCTGCTGAACAACACATGGAACCTGTTCTTAAGACACTTTCTTTACTTGGCTGGCCTACCAAAGAAATATGGTTTAAAAAAATATACACTAACAGCCTACAATCTTTAACAGGACTTAGCCTGCACTTTGTACACCACAAGCCTTGATGATGACGAAGATTCCCATCCATAGAACTAGCATTATACTAAAAATGCAAACAGGTTATTCTTACCTGGGAATATTATAGAAGTACAGTAGAAGTTGTGTGAGTGCACTGATTCTGGAATGTTCAGTTAAACAGGTACCATTTTTTACACAGACTTGCACTATTGCTCTTCCAGCACGATCCCTGTTTCCTAACCAGAAAATATAAATGAATAAAAGGAATTCTCAAATGGGGTAACATGCCTCTGGCACCTCCGAGTCTGTCTCTCTACCTTGTACCTCATTTCCCTCTCCCTTTCAAATTAAATTGGGCAGGAATGGTACACAACAGAGGAAAGTATAACTTTTGATTTGGAACAAATCTTTGTCCCTTCCGGGCACTTGTTTTACCTTGCCTGTTTGAGATATCTGTAGTGCCTCTATGACCGTAGTAGCCATTCAGGTCTCAGCTCAAATCTGAGGAGTGCAGCAAATTGTGAACTTGAAGTAGAGTGGATTAATGGCTATTGATATCAGCAAGGCATCACTTTCTCCTTCTCCCTTGCCCCCATCCATCCATCCATCCATCCATCCATCCATCTCCCGCCCATCTATCTGTATGTGTAGTATCCAGCACGGACATCATCCTGCTATAAGACTATAACAATGGTGTCTTAGAACTGAAGAATAAAGAGGAAAAGGCAAGGCCTCAAAACATGTAGTTAACCCTCTGCATCATGGGCAACATTTGGTCTCCCATGCTGATCCATCAGGCTTCAGAATAAGGGCTGATAAAATGGCCAGGCACTTCAGAAGGAGAGGGGGATAGCAGCTAAATTGTTTTGCTCTCTACTTGCTTTCTTCAGGTGGAGAGAAGTAAGGGAGAAGTAAAGCTCTCTGTGCACTCTGGTGCTTCAAAGTGTCCAACAGATCTGTCCTGCTCCTTTTCTGCCTCCCAGCTTGGAGGAAAGTGAGAGGAGTGACGTTGGCTACACTTTTGAAGTGTTGTCAGTGGATAGAAAGGAAAAAAGTTGAGATCAGAGCCAGTGGGAAGTGATATGGCCATCTTTGAACATTCATAGAATTTCTGGGGCATTTTCCCAGTATATATATTGGACTCTGCCACTGTTTTACAGGTGTTATTTCCATCAGTATTCAGTATAGCTCCATCTATCAACCCTGGATGACATCTTCACATCCTGCTGTCTGAGGAAGTCACACAATATCCTTAGAGACTTTTCCCATCCTGCTTACAACTTCTTTGAACTGTTGCCATCTGGCAGAAGATACAGAACAATTAAGACTCAGACCACATGTTTTCTGAATAGTTTTTATCCCAGAGCTATAATTGCACTTAATAATGAACTTAAAGACCATCAGTAGTGAATAGTTGGACAGTGTTACTTAGCCTGCGGTGTAGATGTTTGTATTTTGGGGGGGGTTAGTGGTTGGGGAGTGTTTGGGGATTTTTTATATGTGCACATGTAGGTCTGGTCTCTGGGTGTCTGTGTGAATTTCGTTGTATGTGTATACTATGTATAGACTTACAATGACAATAAATTTATTTGATTTGATATTTCACATATTATTTATTTTACAAAAGCCAGTGTTAATTATGACTAACAAGCAGTGGTAAATAACTGCAGAAGGAAGGTTCCCTACACCCCTTTATGGCCCCAGATACAGGAATGAAAATAATATGTGTACAGTATTCTATATTTTTAATCTGGAAAAAAAAACCTGTATTGGCATATTTTGAATTGGGAGGTAATATTCTATAAACTGAACCTGAACAGTTTTTGTGAATTTGAAGGTTTGTCATACTTTAAAATTTAAGAAAGTATTCTTTAAGTTCTACTACAAGAGTCAGGTGTTTCAGGGGCTGGAGGAGTGTGTCACTTGGAAAAAAGGGATTCAGATCCCTACCCCCCTTGTTTTGACCACCAGCGATCACTGTATTCTACCCAAATATATCCAATTTAGTTTAGTATTGCTATTATTAATATCAACAACCTGGGGAGCAATTAGAGTAATGCAAGTGGGGGTGGGATTTACGTACACATTTCTCCTACCCACAGTTCTCATGAGGAAAACTACAGCAATTTCCAGATACAAGTATGGATATTTTGTTCAAGATCCTGATGCATTCTGATGATATAGGAAATTAGGCATAAGGTTTCCTGATACCAATATTTGAAAATAGGATTAGCTGAGACGGCAATGTTCAGAAAACCCTGAAAGCCTATTTTAGACATTAGACACCCCCCCCCAAAAAAGTATTCTTTCTTTACTAACTAATTTATTTTTAAAAGATATACATCCAGGTTTTTTTTTCCAGAATAGTGATGACTAGATATACATCCATAGACATTGGACATCTGCTTACTAACCATTCACTCCACATTTACCACTACCTAATTTGTTTTCCCTCAACCATCAACCAATAAATCTGTAAACATCACATGGCATGAACCCGGCAGCATGGACTCCACATGTTTTCCAGTTCCCATAATGCTTATCCACAGCATGGGAACCTCTCATGCAGACATGCTATAAGAAATCTCCATAAAACATACTGTTTGAATGTAATTTTATTTCCTTAAACAAACCATTAACTATGTACTACATACCACACAGAGAAACTACTCCAGACTGCAGTAATTCTTGATTAACTTGAAACAACTGGCTTGGTAGTAAGTGGTCAGGATCCCCATGGTTTGTAGACAACAGTTCATTTTCATGCCAACGGGGCACAAGTGATGTGGTCACATTAGATTCACAATCCTGGAAATCAGTTCCATAATCTCTTGAATCTAGTGGAAATGGAAAGACACAACTTAGCCAACCACTCTATTAATTCTGTTTAATCAGCTTCCTTTGTAATAATTTGCTTATTTTGGGCGGAAAGTATACAATGAAAAAGCAGCATTAGATTAAAAGCAAATCTTTCTGGGAAGTCCCCCCAACAGGATGAACCCTAGAACCTCTTTAAAGACCATTCAACAGGTCCCATTTTTAAAATTCCTAAGGTTCTGTGTTGAAGAGGATTACAATTAAACTGTTTAAGCTACTCTACACATATACAGTATTAATAATGTACTAGAAAGAGAAGAGGGCAAATGGGTTTCTCCACAGACCTGCTGATCTTAATTTTTTTCCCAAGTAAGCTCACTTCAATATTTCTGAAAGATTATTTTCAGCTATCATATGATAAGGTTCAGCTGGACCTGTATTGCTCGGAGGACTCAAACATACTTTCAAAAACATTAATTCTGCATGTTGACTTTTGACCTGAACATGTGTTCAAGCCTTTGATCACAATTTCATTTGTATCCTGTCTGACAGAAATAGCACAGCAAGACAAAAAGCATTCATTTAAATCAGTTCTAGAGAAACCATAGGGACAAACCCACTGCATGCATTTCTGTTTGAAGTTAAGTTCTAGTGGCTGAAATCCTGTGGCTTAGCATAGTAAGTCACACTAGAGTAGGCTTATTGAATCAGTAGGGATTTGGTGAGTTAACTCTTTGTATGTTCTACTGATTCAAATATACCTAACTCCAGTTGTGACTTACTGTGCTAAAGTAAATTACAACTAGAGTAGGCCCCTTTGAATCAACAGAACCTATGGAGGAGTTGACTCAGCAGATCCCCACTGATTAGTGGACTTACTCACATGTAGTTAGCATTTTTTTTCAACGAGCTCAATAAACAACATGCAGCAAGGTATCTGTTTTACCTTCATTCTTTTTGCTTTTGGAAGAGATGAATTCATGAATGTGTAAATCACATTTCTCCAGTCTTACTGAATTCCCATTTACATTTTGGGGAGGATTGGTACTGGGTACTCCATGTGAGGACATACTGGGTTTACAATCTTTATTCTGAGAACTCACGCATGACCTATTTGAAAATTGTGATCTGTTTGAACTCGCTCTGCAACTTTCAATTGGAGATTTTTTACGAGATACAGGTAATCTTCTTGAAGTCTGGGAATTCTCCCCAAATGTAACAGCCTCATTTGCATCCTCCTGTTTTGATTGCCCCTCAGTCCAAGAGCTTCCTTGCTGAACACAATATTTATGCATTTTCTCAGTAATTCTGGAATTGCCATCCATCTGTCCTGAGTCCATGACATGGTCTGAAGTGTCTTCTTCTGCAATAGATTCCTCTGAGCTAGAGCCCAGGTTCATTGGATTTTGCAAAGCTTCTATGTATGATTTTCTGAACAAGCGCTTTGTTTCAAAATACAAAGAATCCTGCCTTTTTTGACGGGGACTGCCCAGGTTTGTACCGAAAGCTATGCTTTTAGTGTCATTACTCTTCATAAGTGGAGGAGGAGGTGTGTCCACTTTAGAATATTCAGGAGTCAACTCCAATCTCTTTTCTGGTTCTTGGATGACTTCCTCTGACGCTGGATCTGATTGCAAGCATCCGCCAGAATGTGCTCTTTCATTTACAGCATGAACCCTTTCAACTGCAGCAAGGGTTTCTAAGCACTGTGTTTCAGCTTGGCTTTGAGATCCTTGAGAAAAACCAGAATCATCATTGCCTTGAGTTCCACAACTGTTTGCACATGGCACCTCTATCACAGTAGAGCAGGTATCATTAGAAGTAGAACTCTCATGTAAGCTATTGCTTTCCATGGTCTGTGCCATAGCTTTAGCATCAGGACTGTTGTTGACTAACCTTTCAAGCAGACAGTTATTGGAATATTTTTGCAGAATAGATTCAGCAGTAGGAACAAAGATAGGATTCACAATATTCTTCCAAGGAGTCCTATATGTGGCCGGGCCTGTGGTTAGCAAGCAGTTCTGCAAAAGACTACCACCCCATTCACAATTCACATTTTCCAAAAACTCTGTTGTGAAAATGTAGCCATACATGGTTTCAGGTACAGTAAGTTCTTCTATTCCATGACCATTCCTCGAAAGACATTTTAATACTAAGTTGGCTGACTGCTTTTGCACTGGCACAATCTGGAAATAAAAATCTCCTGGTTTTAGTCGGACTTTACGGAGAGATGCCAACTGTACTACAACTTTTTCATGGATGCATAAGGGCCATCCTTCATGGCAGAAAATAAGGCCAGTATAATTGTCCTGCAAAGAAGAAGGAAATGAAATATTTTAGTAGAAATATAGGCCTCATGTTTTGTTATTAGCTGCTGGGTAACTTTAATGTTTCAGCTAATCACTGAATAACATGGGGGAGGAAAATTACAGTAATTTAACTCAGAACAAAACCACTATGCAGTGAACAATAAAATCAAGAATCAGCAAAAATTTCAACATCAATAGTATCTCTTGGATACAAATAATCAGCCTAGATCACAAAAAGAATACTGAATGTATTGTCTGTTCAGTTTTGACCAATTATTGAACTCATTCCTAAAAAAAGAGTTTTACACTTGACTTAAACTCTTACAACATTTTTCTTATAAAGTCAGAACACAGGAAACCACTGAGATCCTAAGAAAACTAAACAGGAGCAGCTGTACAGCTTGGAAAGCTGGCAACTGACTACAGATGGGCACATCAGACCGGCACCACAGGTGCCACATGTTCCCTACCCCCACCCCCCAGCCAGATCCCCCACTCACCAGCCAGCATATGCTGCTTTTTGCTTCCTCTTTAGGCATTCAACCAGTCCTGGCAGGAGCGCATGCTTCCCTCCTCCACCCCCTCCAGAAGCTGTCTGCCACAGGTGCCACATGTTCCCTCCCCCCACCCCCCAGCCAGATCCCCTACTCACCAGCCAGCATATGCTGCTTTTTGCTTCCTCTTTAGGCATTCAACCAGTCCTGGCAGGAGCGCATGCTTCCCTCCTCCACCCCCTCCAGAAGCTGTCTGCTCAAAGGCGCATGCTTCCCTCCTCCACCCCCTCCAGAAACTGCGCACTCAAAGGCAGCACTGCAGGAATCTCTGTCCCTCCTCTCATCTGAGTGGATGGTGGCTGGAGGAGGCTAAGGAGGAAAGTACTCTCTCCTGCTGGGACTGGTCAAACACCTGAAGAGGAGGATAAGAGCTGATGAGTGGGGGGATCTGGCTAGAGGAGTGGCGGAAGGGAACTTTTGATCCGGCACGAATCTCTGAAACAAGGTTAATGCCCATCTCTGCAACTGACAATGAGAAGCACTCCCATAAGAAAATGCTGTCAAATAACACAAACCCACAAAATGCATGAATCAAAACAGAAGAATGCAGTACTGGGATCCATATGAACAGATCATGCACTGGAGCAAAAGCAGAACAGAAAAACATACTTACTAAGGTTTTTTCTTCTTCTAAAAAATACATACTAACTCGTGGTGGAGTTTAAACAAAACTTAGAAAACAAGTTTTTTTTAAAAAAAGAAATCCACCTTGACTCTGTTGAGATTAGTTTCATGTTGTGTAAACACTGTGATGCAGTACTAACATAATGGGAGCAAGGAAAGTTGAACAAATGTTAAATGTGGAGAGGCCTATTTTCTATTTTAGAATTACTAGAATCACTGCAGCAAATTTATCAAACATCTCCCCAAAGGGGAAAAAAAATCTCATTCAAAAAAAGGGTACAGAACTCTATTGCCTTGTGCAAATCATTCGCTCAAAACTGTTCTTAGGTTAGAGACATTCACAGGTGCAATTGTACACATCAGCTAAAATCCTGTTCCATATGTTATGCTGTATAAGGCTGATAATATCATTAGCCTTGGTGATTTTTTTGGAAATAAAAAAATTCTAGTCTATCCCACTCCCAAGGTTCCGAGGCTCCCACAAAACTCCATTAATCATGGGGAAACTATTGGGGGCTGTGGGACAGATAAAAATCTTTAATATCTGAGAGCTATTAAAATCCTGAAAGTCATCCCAGCAGCAATGATTTTCAGAAATTAAAGACTTTTCCCTGCCCTGTGGTCCCAATGGCTTCCCCACAACAAAAGAAACTCTATAGGAGCTTCAGGACGTCAGTGGGGGAGAACCAAAAGCATTTTATTTGGGAAAAATCATTGCAGTAGAGGACATCACCAGCCTTATGTGGCAAAGCTGCATGAAATCCTGGTTGAAATCCTGTTCCACAGCTCTGCTTGCACAGTGGGAATGATGTCATTGGCAGTGGCAGACTGCTACTGATTTAAGGCTTTCTCTCACAATTTTGGGCTGTACATGGCTAGTGCACATTGCAACTGTTGGAAACTTCTAGAACATCACCTCTTTTGTATCTCCCCCATGGATGCCCAGTAGAAGCATTCCGGAAGTAAGAGTAGGTGGACATTATTCCTTTTATTGGCTATGTCTCACTGTCCTGTTATCCCTCCTAAAGAGTTAAAAGATTCATAGCTTCCTGTCTCTTCATTTCAATCCTTTCTAACCCTCAAGCTGTTAATATCTCTTCCCTGAGATTGGCTAAACCCATTCTATCTGGGCCATGTGCTTTAAACATCTAGTTAGAATAAGCTTTTCTATCAAGTGTTTCCCCCTCCTAAATAAACCTCTTAACTTTTGTTTAAGCTTACCCTTCTGCCTCATTTATTGCTCCAGCAAATAGAAATATATGTTAAATTCAAAAGCTCATTGCTGTTTATCCTGCAAACTCTTGAGTGGGTGAACAGGGAACTTGGGAGGGTCAGTAGGACACGGAGATATATCTGCCTCTATGTCCTACTGGTCCTCACAGCACAACATGGTGGACACAAAATGGATATCCCTCCCTTGAATACTATCTAGGAGCTAATGACATGCTAGAGGCAAGAGGGAGGAGAAGCATGGAACAGTGGAATGAGAAGGAAGGTGGGAAGTTGTCCACAAAGGAAGCATCCTGCCAAGTGGGGGATATAAGGAGACCTGAGGAAGAGCTGTGGGCGGTTGGAGGGTAAGATGCAGAGTAAAGCAACCAAGAAGACTGGGGATACAGCCCTGAATGGAGATGTGAGGAGCATGATGCAAAGTGATGCTCTGGATTTTTAGTTTTGGGACATAACCCTCCATTGACTGATGGAGTTCCAGACGGTTTGAAGGAACGCCACCTGGCAGAGACCAGGAAACCCTCAAAGAACTAAGTGAAATTGTGAGATGTTAAAGGTGTGATAAGTCAGTTGGGAGGACCTGAAACTGAATCAGTGCCCCTCTTTGCACAGAGAGCAACAGTTCCAGCAGTTACATCAGCTGGCATGGGACATAAGTCTGAAAGTGTACTGTATAAAGCTTGACTCTGTAGCTTATTGAACATTAGCTGAATCTTCTTACTTAGTGGATGGAGAAACAATGTGAATAGTTTTCAATAATCACTGTTTATTGGTGCTTGGACACTCACATGGAGCTTCCTTCCAGAGGATGGATGAATTAGGGATGTTTTTTATGATGCCCATCCCACCAATTGAGACATACCCTTTCAGATGAAGAGATCTCCTTAACAGAGCTTCCCTTAGACTTAACAATCTTAATGAAAATTTACAGCAACAACAAAATCACATGAACCCCCTCAAAAAAGCAAACAGAAATGATTTAATCAGTAGCAATCTACTCCTGCAGCAGCAGCAGCTGTTCTCTTTGCAGAGCCAGACCTGTCAAACAGGATTTTGGCAAGTAAGTGTGGGGAATATGTATCTGCTTCTGAGCGCACAGCAACAAGGAACTCTTGTCTCTTATGATTCTACCTTTTTCATGCATGTTTCTACACTTGTGTGTGCGTCATTCTAGTATTACACTTTCAGGTATAAATTTGCAAACATAATATGTGAACTGGAATTGAATGTGGTCACTTCACTGATGGCACAAGTTAAGTAAGGGGAACAAACCCATTATTTTGCAGAGTTAACAAAAAAGATCTATCTTATTAAGTCATGCAATAAAGAAACATTAAGAAACACACCTCACAACCTTTCCTCTTGAGGGACGGGTGATAAGTTCAGGGTATATAAAGATTCCATTGTTTCTTATTAAATGAACAATATCGAGAGAGCAAGTTATCAGAGAAAAGTATCCTGTCTCCTAGCCAGCAGTGGCACATTTCTATCTCAGGTTTCTATTCATTGAGCAGGATTTCTTTATTCATGGACTCTGAAAAGGGATTTCCTTTGACCAGCAAGAGTCACACTTTGGATCTAAAAAGTCTCGGCTCCATTAAAGGTTTTTGTTTGGTGAACAATACCACACAAGTTCTGTTTGGCAGGCTGTGTGGAGTGTCATTTCCATGGGAAAGACAGTGAGTGGGGACAGACATTCCCATCACGATCAAGCTCTCTATATCATGATTACACTGTGGTACACAGTGGGAAGCACAGTTTTCACTGAAGAATTTGGTGAAAGGAGGAAATTTGGCTTAGATCTGATTCTGAGAGGGGCATATAGAAACCTTCTGAATGCAACTGCATTTGCTTGGTGGAAGAAGCAACATGATCTTAAGTTATTTTGAAATCCTCCCTTTGGGGATTTCCTTGGGTAAATGGGAATCTCCGCCTCCCCAAAAGAGAATGAACAAAATAGTGCATTACACATTTCTCCCCAAAGGGGACCTACTTCCTCAAACTCCCTACTTCCTCAAAACTTCCACAACAATAGGCAGATAATATTACTTCTGACTGAATGGAATTAGTGCTGAGTAGGGGGATGTAAAGACAAGTAGAAATGTTTTGTGTGTCAAAACACACTTTTGGGTTTGGTACAGAAGACTTCTTTTTGCCATAAGCCAGTGACCAACAGAGTTTTGACAGTGGAACATTGGTGCCATTGTCTTCCAAAAGATTATTATTGGGGATAACTCAGGACAGGTTCAAAGTGAACAAATATTTGTAGGTGAGAACAGATGGATACATAATCTAGAGGAATAAGGCCCCAAGAAGAACAAGAGGAAAAGAAAGAAAAAAAATCCCCCACTCCTGCTCATCTGTTACATTTTTAGGATATAATGTGTCCCCATATGTCAAGGAGAACAAAAAGATCTGAGAGAGATGGGGGCGAGTATGAACCACTGGAGTGGTAAAATGGAGAAAGCACTATGGTGAAGGGAGACAGAGACATGGAATAGAGAGAAGGCAAGCCAGATATCTATGTACTGCCTCTACTTCTAGCCCATCTTCCAACCATGGTAAATCTGAGGGCTCAACTTTAGTGCTCAG